TGGTACCTCTTCAATCTGGTTTGCAAGACATCCTGGAGGATATGACCTTGGAAGGCAGGTGGAATATTGAACCTGCATAATAAGAACATCTCCACATTGGTGGCAGCCTGTTGGGTACAGGGCAGTTAATAAATAATGAGGATGTCAAAGATAACAGCAGGAAAGTCGGAGCAGGCAGCAGCTTTGCAGCCAGCGTTCTGACAGCCGCCTGGCAACGGCCAATTAAGAGGCACGCGCTGGTGCTCAGCCCCGCATGGAGCACATCCAACACCTGCACCCAGGTCCGGTGGTGCCGGCACCAGCACTGGGGCTCTGGTGATGCCAGCACTGGCACCGGGTCTCTGGTGATGCCAGTACTAGCACCGGGATGCTGGTGATGCCAGTACTGGCACGAGGGTCTGGTGATGTTGGCACCAGCACCGGGGCTCTGGTGATGCCAGAGCATCCCGTACATGTGCAGCATGTGGAGGGAGCAGGGAGCTGCACAGGTCTTCTGGAACCAGCAAAAGGAGCCTGGCTACAGCACTGGAGAGCCAAAGGGCAGCAGATTGCCAGGAGGAGCAATGCCTGCTGGCCAGACAAGGAGGGGTTTGCAGAGGGTGGTGAAGCCCTGCGTGGAGCAGGGGAAGGAGATACTGAAAGAGGCAGCTGGAGCAGCTAAATGTGGGTCTCCCTTGGATCTTGCAAGAGAGGAAGGAGCTCATGAGCCCTGGCCCTGCATCCATGATGTGCCGGTGCTGCCAGGGCAGCTCCTCAGGGTTATGGTCCCTGCTCACAGGAGTGTTTGGCTCAAGGGTTGAATTATATCATGCCAGAACTCAAATATTAGGAATCTGATTACTTTTGAGGTGTAATTGATCTTCTGATGACTTTCTAAACATCTGGTAAGAGGGGACTGCTTTCCAAACAGCAAGATCTGCACTCAAATGGTCTTGATTTGAATAAGTATTCCATCCTTGTTTGGTAAATATACCCAGTGTTAATGGGGCTTAATGGTGCCTGTAATTGGTGTCCAAAGTTATTTAAAAGTAAATTTACTAGAAAATAATTAGCAATTTTATAGTTGACTACTTCCTCATTTTGTTGATAAAAGTTTTTCAGTGTTTTTTATCAGATGACACAATAGGGCCGTGCTGTGAAATAGCTTTTTTCAAACTAGCCGGAAATTGTGCACACAAAATAAGAGAAAAAAAATGCCCCCTGGTTTCTTTGCCTGCAGCCAGCCCCCTCCCTCCCACTATTACCCACTGACTTGTCCCTAATGAGCAGCAAGCGAAATGTCTCAGGCATTGCTCAAGGATTTGTTCTTTGTGACCTTGGGAGGTGCACCCCGAGCTGTGAGGCCAGCGAGGAAAGTTGTCCCCCACCACAGGGACAGCCCCACTGTCCCCATGCAGGGACAATCCTGCTGTCCCCAGCTGAGGCAGCTCTGGGTCTGGGGACAGTGACTGGTCCCTGCCTGCAGAGGAAACCAGGGTTTCTGCTGTCCCTGGGTCCCTGACTGGATCCCATGAAGGACATCTCAGGATGCCTGAGATCCTGCAGGCTGGAGCTGGCCCAGGCGGTCCTGGACCTGCTCCTGGTTCAGGTCACGGTCCCAGCTATAGCACACACCTCCGCCAAGCCCTTCTGGCACCAGTGGGGCCATGTCCCATGGGGAGGATTCAGTGACTGCTTGGGACTGGGCTGGCTGATGGTGGGTCATGGCCAGCACCCATTGTGGATCTGCTGCTCATGGGGTGTTGGTGCTGCTGGGGGACGGTGGGAGAAATGGAGCAGAGAAATGCAGCTGCTACAATGTTTTATTGTTCAGTGCTGTGGGTTCAAGTGTTCAGTTTGGGGTTTTCATATTGTTCAGGTACAGTGACACTGACAGACAGAGACACGTTTGGGAGGAGGTGACAGCACAGCAGTTTGGTTTCAGAAAGACTTAACTCTCCATTTCCAGTCTCTGAACCATAAAGTACCAGCTTTTCCAGAACAATGAATCACCCAGTCTGTGTATAAAATTAAATATAATTTATGCTCTGCTAATTGAAATCAAATACAAAATTCAATTTCCTGTGTATTCTAATGCTGACATTTGAATAGTTTAAAAAAAACGTGTTATTAACCTGACTCTCTCATTTGCAGGCCACTCTCGGCCAGATAGAAAATAATTCCCCTGTCAATCCCCAGCGTCAGCGCGGCAGACGCGGGCATGTGCCAGGGAAGCAGAAGGGGCTGGTGGCGCCGTGTCCCACCAGGATGGGGCAGTTGGTGCCCGCAGGCGCTCGGCGGCTCCTCCCGGGGTGGAGGTTGCAGCCAGTATAAAAAATAAACCTCTGAACATATGGCAGAAAGAATGGGAGCGGAAGTCGGGCACGGGCAGGCCCAGCACCTCCTGCACCCCCGCACCACTGTAAACCATGGGGTGACCCCTCTTGGGGGCTGGGGTGCACCCTGCTCCAGATCACTGCTCCAGGGCCTTGTTCCAGCTGCAGGACTGAGCCCCAGATGTGACTGTGCTTCATCCAGCGCAGGACAGATGCTCCGGGTCCAGCTACACACCATGACTGCCCTAATGGGGTGCTGCACTGGGTCATAGTTCTCACACAAAAGTATGGTTTGGGATCTCCCATCCCTCCAGTGAGGGGCACAATAAGAAGAGTGACAGTGGCTTGATGGCAGCTGGGGACCAGAGATTCTTTTCGGGAGAAGCCAGCCTGAGCTGCGCAGGGAGACACAGGGCAGCACTTGGACCAGACCAGACCAAAGCTGGGGCTTGCAGGGGGACTTGCTGTGTTGGGATGGGGCTTCTCGTGGGCTCCTCAAGCTCAGGAGACCTTGCTCAAAGGAAAATTGCTCCTGGTTAAGCTGGGGATGGAGGCTGAGGCAGTCCCAGCTTTGGCCATGAGGTGATGCACAGTGCCATGCTGCGGTCATATGCAGCCACCAACCTGCCAGGTCCTGCTCACGCCATGAGCTGGGGAAGGGACCCCCAGTGCCACCCCCCCTGCACTGGCAGGTTCTGCTCTGCCGGCGTGTCGGGGCTGCAGCGTGCTGGGACCAGGCAAAGATCTCTGGATATGCCCCTGGTGAGGAGCCTGGACACCGGCCCGTGGTGATCCCCTCCCTCGTCCTCCACTGAATCCATCGAGCAGCTTGCACCAAACTGTGTAACAACAGTTTTCACTTTGGAGCTGATCCGACATTCTAATAACATGTGAAACACTGTAAAATTATTCCTATTACAGACTTCCAATTTTCAGGTAATAATTCGGGGATTTGTGGGTCTGTGAAAAACTGTGTTGTGTCAGGAGCTGTTTTTAAATCTAATCACGCTAATGGGAACTGACGTGACATGAGCAGGGACCTCGCGGTGCCCCTCCAGCATGGCCCACGGGCTAAATTGTCCAAATGGCTTCAGCTCTGTCTTTCATCCAATCCAAGGCACCGGCACCACTTCATGGGGTAATGAACCACACAACAGGCCACGAAACCCAAAGCAGGTTCAGCTTGTTACGCAGAAAAGAGTGGTTTCATTTGGTTAGCCGGCTCAGGGGGGATTTCTTGCCACCTTAATCAAACCCGAGTCTTTGTCCTCCCACCGTGATCTCACACAGCATCTCTGCTGCATCCCAACAGCCAGGGACTGGCCACCTGCAAGGGGCCAGGACTTGCTCACAGCCCAGGAGGCATCCTCACCACTCCTTATAACAAAGCAAACAGCCAGCAGTATTGGAGCGCCCTTAGAAATCACCTTTACGAGGGGAACATGCAGCAACAGCAGCTCCTCATTTTCTCTGTTGTTCCCTCTCTCTGTTTTCCCTCAGCGATGGGGATGGGAACAGTGCTGCTGTGCCAGAGTGCTGCTGGCTGCTCTCCACTGGTTCCAGTGTGCAGCTCTCATGGCTGGAGGATGCAGTTGGGATCAGGGTTTGTTCTTCAGCTTCTACCAGGATTGCAAATTTGGTTGAGTGGCCATTTCCACTAGAAAACACCTATTTTTTGATGAGCAGTGCTCTCCCTGGGAATCCATCGCTTCCCTCTAACTGTGAACTAAAGCTGAGCGCTGCTTCCCCACTGTGCAAGCCCCGCTGTCACTGGCAAGCAGGAGCACTCGTTTTCAAGGTGCAAACGAAGGGCAGTGTCAGAGGCGCCTCAGCCAGCCCTGCCCAGACCCTGCGCTGGGGCTGTCCCCACGGCTCTGCCTGCAGGCACCCCGCCATTCCCACCAGGAAAGCCTGGCTCCAGACCTTGGAGCAGGGCACAGCACAGAGGGAGGGGGAGGTCTGGGGGAGGCCCCAGGTCTGATCTCACTGAGCATCCCAGCAAAGAGGAAGGGGCTCTCTTGCAACAGTGGAGATGCACCCATCAGTTGGAGGAGAATCAGGCCCAGGCATTTTGTGGCACTTGGTAAACACTAGTTTTAGTGCAACAGGTAATTGGAACATCTGGTGCAAATGAAGCTTCTGTACATAGTTCCTCTGCAGCATAACTGGCTTTATCCCTTCCACACACGAACATCAGTGTGCATGTGAATGCATGTGCCCGGACTCCACCAGTTCTGACTGATGCTGCCGTTTGGGCAAAATTAGAAGCCAGGGCAGGAGAAATCAAACCTATGAGTTTGTCCCCATGCTGTTGGATTTTGAACTGCTCAGGCAGCCCTGCAGGAGCTGGTCCTGCCTTGTCTGGCTGCGAGGGGGTGCCAGCAGGGAAAGGTGGACACGAAGCATCCCAGCACCCCGAGGAGTTCCGCACCCTCTGCCTCCTCTTCCTCCCACCTGCCCCTGGCCTCTCATTGTCACAGTGGGGAGAGCCCAAGTGCAACCCGAGGTGAGGTGCCACTAAGATCTCAGAGCTGGAAACATGGGGTGGCTTTGGCTGCAACCCCGACAGCGCAAGAGTCTTGCGCTCGTGAGGTTGAGCCTCCATCCCCAGGTGAGTTTTGGGTCTCTAATGATGATTCACACCTCAAAAGAAAAGAGCATTTTTTTTTTCCTGATTTTGTGGTTCTACTTGTCACTCTCTTCCTGCTCCCACTGGAAATCCTGGCCTGTCATTTGGTAAAACATGACATTGAAGGGTTTGTAAAACTTCCGCAGTCTATGGATGACGTCTGGGTCTATTTTGGGGTGAGTTCGACCCTTGGACTTGCCCAAGCACCGGGGAGCACTGCTGTCCTCTGGCTTCTTTAGACAGGGGAACCCCTTAGTTTTATTAAAATAAAAATGTTTCTCTGTCACAATCCTCTTGAGGCCTAAGAAGTCCTGGACCTTGGCCATTTCCCCAGCCGGGTCAGTGATGAGCCTCTCACCACTGACAAAAAGGATCTGGGAGAGGGGGAAGTACTGGAGCCAGTTCTCCAAGTGCAGGGCATAGATCCCGATGCGGATCGCGCTCCAGGAGGCGTCGATCAGCCCCAGGGTCCGGTTCTTGAAGGCCAGCACCTCGAAGGTGGGGATCTCTGGCTTCTTGGAGAGCGTCTGCGTGTAGTCCGAGATGGCGCGGGTGACCGGGTTCCTCACCACCACGATCAGCTTCGTGTCCTTGGCCATGGAGTGAATGCGCCTGGGGGCCTCGTTGGTCACGAAGTAGCTGGGGGTCTTCTCCATGGTGATCTGCCCATCCAACGTCTTGGGCATCACGTTCCTGCGCAGAAGCAGAGGAGGGGTGTTAGCGAGGGACTGGGCGAGGGGGGACACCTTGTGTCCCTCTTGCCCCGTACAGGTGCTGCTGGGACTGTCAGGAGGGGGATGCTGCGTGCCTGCGGGCCCCAGCGACCAAAGCACTTCTGGCTTGGCTTCTTCTTGGACCCTGGACATGGTGGGCACCTGAAGCGTTAAATCAACCTTGGTAGCACATTATACAGTCAATTCGCCATAGGCATATGTAGACAAAAGTTAATTGACAATAAACCTGTACAATACCTGTCTGTTCAGCAAGCCATCTGCTTCCATTTGCTCAATTAAGCCTATTCACTTCAGAGCCTTGTACCAGAGTGGTGCAGTTAGGATTACACAAGACCTTTTTGTTATGATGACATGCTTTTAAATGTCTCAGCTAATAAAACTTAATACAGAATAAGATCCCTTGCTTCTAGTACAATAATTAAATTTATTTACTATCTTGTATGTGAGAAAGAATGACTTTTCTTTTATCTCTAATTCACATGCTCTGTCAATAATTAATTGCTGCTGGGTTTTGAGCTTCCTGTGCAAGCACTTTTATTAGCCAAAAGGAATTTGCCTACTGGATAAATTAGCATAGCAAGACTTTCCTGGATAGCATATTACCATACTGTAAAATGAAACTGCGGCAAGATAGCATTTATATCTAAGAAAATGATAAGGTAAATGCTCATCCCAGCTGCCCCCAGTTAAAGATTATCATAGTAAGCAGGAAGATATTAAGTGATGTCCCCTGCAAGTGCGTTAGAGCCTCTTTCACACCTCCTCAGGGTGCTGGAGGTATTAGATAGTTGTGCCACCAGCCCAGCTCCCACTCTGCATGTGCCATGGCCATGCACTGACTGCTTCTGAACCGAGTTAGAGCAGTATTTTTATCTTGAGCGTTTCAAATGCTCCTGCATGGGCACACCCCACAGACCTTGTTTGTTTAAGCTGTTGTTGGCTATTGGGAAGCAGGAAGAGGAGCGGTGTCACTGCTCCGGGAAGCACTAGTGGCACTGGCCAGGTCTCCTGCAGAAGACACAGAGGATGGTGTTGCTCAGGGTCTTACAGGGTTATCCCTTCACATTGCAACTATTTTTAGTGCAAACATACAGCGAGAAAACAACGTGAATAGGCTGGAAATGGTTCTGTAAGAGCACCTTGGGCTCCGGCGGCCGCCGTGATGCTGACGTCAAACCGCCAAGCCCCGGGAAACAGCCATTTCAGGAATTACACAGCTCAAGTGCCTGTTGGGCCAGGCCCAGCCTTGCCTCCCGTTTGTGACTGCTGCCCAGCCCAAGTGAAGGTGGGCTCGGTGCTGCCACAGGGCTACTAATGCCCTCAGCGTTTTGGGGTGAAGATGCCAGAGGGGTCCTGGGGCTCCCCCCCTCCAGCAGTCACCTCCTTCCTATTGGAAAACCTCTCTCTGAGTCCTAGCAATGGGGCTGTGCTGGGAGCAGGGCTTCAGGGCTCTGGCTCACCCCTTCCAGCACACCCATGGCCAGGTCCTGCTGGGAGCGC